TGAGGTATCACACAACATCATACTCAACGAAATTTTGGGTACGGAGAAGGGCATAAAGGCACTAGCGAAGTTTATTCAAGAATCCAGCGCATTAAAGAAGGTCGCACTGGAACGAGAAGGAGACTGGGAAGAAAGGAGAGGGACAGAAGCCTGAGTAAGGGCAAAGAAGGAAGTGACGAGGGAAGGAGGAGACGAGGAGAGATCAGAAGGAGGAGGAAGGAGAGAAAGTGTATCATATTATACTAAGCCTGGACACCAAACGAGCCCACACGCACACCAAAACTCATCAAACGCGGACCGCTTGGCTATTCGTACTATACCTACATCCCTCACCCTGTTACAACACTCCCCAGCACAGCCCTAACAGGGCACCGCGTCTTAACAGCTCACTTTGTTTGTTGCGGTATATAAATATAGAATTTCTCTCTCTCTCCTTGGACTCCTTACATTCGCGCCTAAGTTTGGATTGACTCATCCCTAGCTCTTTGTCAAGGGGATGCAAGGGAGATCTCCGCATACAACCACGAGTCAGAGATGGGCGAGTATTCACGACGTTCTCTTTTGTGACTTATTCTAGTATTAGAAAGTGCAGTTCGACTCCCACGAAATCCGACGGCCTTGGGACAACCAGACGAATGTGCGTCTACCGCTGCTATTTCTGACTCCTGAAATACACGAGGCAGCATTACTCCCTGTTCCCACTGACGCTTGGTCAACTCTTACACGATCACCGAGCTGCACCTGACTCTCATGCTGGGAAATGGAATTACTGTTAGCTTCAGTTCGACCTGAGGTTCGTCACACCATTACTCGTCACTCATTCAACCTGTCAGAGTACAGTACGAAATTGGGAACTAAGCGTCTCGATCCTTGTTATCGCACACCTCTTCACGGAATCGATTCACAAGTTTGTTCCGGCGCATCTGAAGGTTTTGATTGAGTATTTTGTGGTCCGATGTACATTTATGTAACTTGTTCTCGACCAACCAATCAGCATGTATCTGGTGGACTTCCGCAGTGATCCCACTTGCCATCCGTCGGAAGGTGGGAGCTACGAGAATCCGTGGTAATAATTATCATCATAGCAGGCTCATGTGTATATGAAGAAACGTCCACTGCGCTTTATCGCTCACAACGTCTTCATTTTCAACGCCCCGACAGATATGATTGTCACTGGCTTGTCGTTGGAGACCCTTGCAATATTAGTGGGTTCTGTAGCTGCACTTCGCTCCTTGCAGCTCTTCTTGGACTTCCGGCGGCTCCTCGGAAGCATTCAGTGAGATGATCAGCTTTATCGAACTACTTAACACGAATTACTTGTCCCTTGCAGCCACCTTCCAGGATACCGAACAATTCTTGGTTCAACAACTGTGATCGGAAACCTGCTTCCGCCGACGCCTTGGTTGACCTTAGGTCATGATCATAGTTGGCTGCTGAAGCATACCCGTACGTCGAATATCTTCTCTGTTGGTCTACTTTCCCTGATCAACGTAAATTTCGGAAGCCTTCGCGGAGAGGGGCCTTGATATAATTTCCTCTGTGAGTTGCGCGCGAAACCATGATTGTGACATAGGCTCATAGTTGTAGGTGGCATGTTGGCCTAAAGCGATGGGATCGCTTTCGATAGCAGACGTCAATGTAATCAAGGTATGTGGTGCGGTCTATGTCAGCCTTGATAACATGGTGATTAATTGATTAATCGTACCAAAGGACATCGTTTGGTCTCGCGGAGGACGCTTCCCGAAACCTCTACACCGATATACTGTCTTAACATTCTTTGGAGGGAATATTGTTGTTTCCGAAGGTGATGAATGGAAGCGTTACCGCAAGATTGTCGCACCTGCGTTTTCAGAAGTTCGTGACTGATACCAATGGGTAACATGGAGCTATCCTAACTTACAACTTTGAAAGAGGAATAACAGATTGGTCTTGGAGACAACGACACAGATCATGCTCGACCTTTTTGATACAGTATGGGCCGGACAAGATGAAGTGGTTGTAGACCACGCCGTAGACTTGACTTTGCCGGTAAGAGCTCTTGACGTTACCTACACGCTTCTTTAATTCCACCCCCTAGATTGCCTTGTTCGTGATCGGCGCTGCAGGTGAGCATCATCAGTATTATCAATAAGTAGCTGTCGATATTGAACTCATTGTAGGCTTTGGACGCCCGATATCCTGGAAAGAGGACGATGTGATCCCACTTGACCACCAGCTGACCTTCAAAGATGCTCTCCATACAGTGACACAGGACCTTCTCATTAAATTATTAGTCCCGAAATGGGCCATGGGACTCACTAGGCGTTTCAGGCATACAAGACTTGCATTCGATGAACTGCATGTATGTACATGTACTCGTATCGTGCCTGAATACTTCACATTTTAATGACCCTCTTTTTTACAGCAATACCTTACTGAGATGATTCAAGAACGTCAAGGATCCCAGCTCAACGAAGATAAGAACGATCTATTTTCTAGTTTGTTGGCAGCAAACGACGACGAGAACTTGTCAAAGGGCGAAGTCAAGCTAAGCGATAGCGAATTAATCGGTAAGCTACAATTTCAGACACTACAGCAGGACATTGCGACATTATTCGTCAGGCAATATCTTCATATTTTTGGTCGCGGGACACGAGGTAATCCATCCCTTCAACCCCTTTCCCTCGCGCTGACAGCTCACAGACCACAGCACATACATTGGCTTTTGCGTTCGGCCTGTTGGCTTTATATCCCGACAAGCAAGAGGAATTGTACCAGCACATCAAGCGAGTATTACCTGATGGAAGGCTTCCGGTATGAACCCCTGGGTTGACAGCTACTCAGTCAGGCTTACAATGTCTTCGACAGACGTATGACGATATGCCCTCACTGACCTACCCATTGGCGTTAGTTTGCCCCTGAATCGCCTTGAGTATGGCTGACATCATGACAGCGTGTTCAACGAGACATTACGGATGTTCCCCCCTGTATGTTGGTCGAACAGATATCCCTGAGCGATTTATTCACTTCAGGTGCAGGTTGCCACTGTGCCGAAGTCAAACGCCGAAGACACGACCTTCACCCTCACAGATGAGAACGGGACGATGAAAACGATCGCTGTGCCTCAAGGATTTGCTCTTACGCTGGACGTACCTGGGCTTCACTACAACCGTAAGATAATTTCCAGATGCAAAAGAAGTGTGATAACGAGCTGACGTATGATTACAGCGAAGTACTGGGAAGATCCATACGCGTTCAAACCTGAGCGATTCTTGGGTGACTGGAATCGGGATGCATTCCTCCCCTTCAGTGGTGGTAAGTAGCTTGACAATCTGCTTGGAAAACAGCTTGAAGACAGCCCAAACCAATGAAGGTTACAGAGCATGTGTGGGAAGAAAGTGAGCGTATCGACATTATGCCTTGTCATTCATTTGAATTTGTTTAGGTTCTCGGAAACGGAGGGAACGGCTGTTCTGACCATTTTGCTTTCGCGATATACCATTTCCATCAAGGACGAGCCGCAGTTTGCTGGCGAAACATTCGAGCAGCGTAAGGCGAGAGTACTTAACGCACGAAGTCAGCTCACCCTAGCGTACGTTGAACTTCTGCTCCTGGAAGGTGATATGCTGATGCTGCTTAGACCGACCCGCCTTCCCCTGGTATTCAAACGAAGATCTTGAAGAGGAGACTGGGTAATAGTATGCACGAAATACAATATGCGTGCAAACACACTATACATCGGGCTTTGGTTTGACTGCACAAATGATTTACGACGCCGATTCACTTTGACATCTCCGATACTCCTGGCGCTCGGTGAAAATAACGATAACGCTCTGACCCTTGAGTTTGATTACTGCTGGGGCTGGGCAGGCAACACGCTCACGCTCAGGATTAGGAGCGGCCTGTCACGGTAACAGGGTTAGTGTTGATACTGATGAGAATCAATGTTCAAACCTTTTTCGTCTGTTGCAACAAGTATTCCGAAGCTTGCCTCAGTTTTAAAAGTTTTCTGTAGAAAGTATTAAGGATTCATGCGAAACCTAGTAGTACTCACATCAAACGGTAGTCCACGGCGGACTCGGACCGTGACAGAGGGTCAATGATGTTACTCCGTGGACCGTCATTGCCTGCGTCGAGTCGCTGTATGGTTATCTGCCTTCAGTGGAAAATCTTCTAGCTGATCTATGACGCTTCTATGGAGCGCTCGAGAAATAAAACGCTCCTGGCCAACTTGACTCGGAAGAGTAGCGGAAGAGCATCTCCTTCTCCGAATTCTTGCTTACCACCGTGTGATTTAAACTTTAGACTGAAACTTTAGTACCGTGTGTAAAGGTGGCTGTGCAAGTGCGAATTTCAATCCTGCAGGCTGCCATTGAACTTGGTACTTATGTACTGTCATGTGGAGGCCGAAAGCATTAACGTGAAATTTACTCACGTCAAGGCGCTCACAGCGGAAGTGGGGTTTTGCCTGCATCTACTCGCTCTTTAATGATACCTGAGTTTCTGTGGAAATTTTTCGGCCTGGTTGCCCCTCCTAACATGCCTGTTAGCACTGCCAAGCGGCTGTCGCAGCACTCGTGGACGATGAATTGGGAGTTCATGTTCATGAGAAAGTCACTCCTGGTACTTGCCTTGACGTGTAAGTCATTCACTGAACCTGCACTGGACCTTTTGTGGCGACACCTGGGTGGGCTTGATCCACTTATTAGATGTCTCCCGCAAAGCCTATGGAAAGAGGACAAAAACAAGCTAGTCAGTCAAGCTCTGGCTCATGGTCGAGAGTACACCAATTCACTCCACTTGACAGCAATTTCAAAGACCCACGACCTTCGATGACTGGTCTATCTTTCGCGAATATAACCACCGCGTCCGTTCATTGCTCAATCAATGTTCTGGAATGTACGGCCCCAGATGATCTGCGGCACTGGGGTTTGGCTTGCCCTCAGCTGTCCTCCCTTCTCCCTTACCTTGACTGAGGCTACCAACGAGACATTCCAGTACATCCAGTTGTTCGTGACCCCAAAGTTGACAATGCTCAGTATCCATGCATACTACTCCCTCACCTTTGGTCCATCAGAACAGTTCATCTTGTCATCTATCCCAAAGTGGTATCCTTCTGTCTCGGATTTCGAGTTAGATCTATCCAATGAATCAGGAGACACATCAGCCGTGTTACAATGCTGGTCTCATCTGACATCGGTGAGGGCTGGAACAGTTTCCGAGGCAGCGTTACTACACCTGTCCAATTTGCCTTCGCTACGAGTGTTGAATTCCAATTACCTTCAACTCTGATATCTGCGGATATACACAAGCTCCTGCAGCATCCCGTGTTCTGCTCATTACGAGAACTGGACATAGTGTGCAAAAATGCGGTCATCTTATAGGCTTTTTAGAGAAGCTCGTTGTCACTCTAATGGTATTATCCTTTACAGTCACTGATGGAGTGGATTCGGCGCGGGCCCTGCCGGCTCTGATTTTTCGTCTATCCACTGGATATGCCCACAGATCGTTGCGACAGGTGCGGCTCAGCATCACTGATAAGCCTACTGTTCGCGATGCTTCAATCGGAGCCGCAGCCTTTCAACCACTCTTTGCCTTTCGTAATCTCGCAAGCTCGACTCCGACACGGATCAGCTACTGTATTGTCCGAATGGATGACACTGTCCTGTTGCAGATGGCCAAGGCCAGGCCCCTCCTGGAAGAGTTATGCATCACCAGATACACCAATTCAAGTCATCAAGTCACTCCAAATGCTCTCGTCTCGCTGTTACAACATTGCCCACGTTTAGTCTCGGTTGCCGTTATCGTTGACTGGGCTACGATAGACTACTATGGCATACCCCTTGACATCCCTTACCAAGGATTTTATCACGAGGCACTATCCGAGGTGTTCTTTGGTGGTTCAAAGATTGACCATCCGATAAGGATTGCCGCTTTCATCTCAGTCATCGCACCCAGCGTAAAATCAATTAACGCATGGGATTCTGAATTCTGTAACTGGGATGAGTACCGGGAACACTCCGCCAGGTGGAATGTCATCCAGTATTCGATCAAATCATTACAAAATTTTCGTGCGCAGGGGTGGAGAATGTTGTCAAGAATGATGCAGAATAGGGGTGGGGGTGGAGGAGGTTCCGGGGAAGATGGCGAAAGCGAGAGCGAACATTCATTTTGACAATGTCTCGTCAGACGTTGGGGAGGAAGAATGTCTTGAAAGGTACGTCTTGAGTTCTCCTTGATGCTTCGCCATGTTCGTTCACTCAAGTTTTTTCTCGATCAGGTCACTTCTCCTGATCCGACACCCTCAAGGAATCTCTTTGGCGCAGCCATGTCTCTCAATTCGACAGCAGGAATACGTATGTTGTATCATAACCCTGATATGCTATCAAGATTATGGTATATGCTTTGCAAGACAATCAACCGCTCAGACGACAATCACTTTTGGCAGTATTTGCCGAAATACGTACACACATCCTTGAGCAGAGGAGTAGATATGGTTTACCAGTAGAGCCCATCGCAAATTCTTGAACCTGAACACAAGAGCTATGGACTACGCTCCACGGAAGGCTCACAAGACTTTGAAAGCAGTTTGGTCCGAGTCGAAGGTTGATTCTCTATGCAACACTGAGCGCTTCCTTGCGGATGTTCCTTTGTCTAGATGAAGAGACCGACATCTGGCGATCACCTTTGGGATATTGATCATGCGATGGCTGGTTGAGGAATCGGTCCGTAGTTTCCGGGCAGTATCTGATGGACTTCCGCAGTGACCCCACTTGCCATGGTCGGAAGAAGCTATAAGAACTCCCGCGGTAATACTAATTAATAGTAGGTGCATGTGTATATTGATGTTATATAGAGGGATGCATTGCGCTGTCTCGCTCAAACGCCCTTCCAAGCATGATTGTCACTGGCTTGTCGTTGGAGACCCTTGCAATATTAGTGGGTTCTGTAGCTGCACTTCGCTCCTTGCAGCTCTTCTTGGACTTCCGGCGGCTCCTCGGTAGCATTCAGTGAGATGACCAGCTTTATCGAACTGCATAACGCGAATTACTTGTCCCTTGCAGCCACCTTCCAGGATACCGAACAATTCTCGGTTCAACAACTGTGATCGGAAACCTGCTTCCGCCGACGCCTTTGTTGACCCTAGGCCATGATCATACTTGGCTTCTGAAGTATAGCCGTACGTCGAACATCTTTCTCTGTTAGTCTACTGTCCCTGATTAACACAAATTTTGGAAGCCTTCGCGGAGAGGGGCCTCGATATAATTTCCTCTGTGAGTCACGCGAAACCATGATTGTGCGAGAGGCTCATACTAGTCGTAGGTGGCTTGTTGGCCGAAAGCGATAGGATCGCTGATGATAGCAGACGCCGGTGTAATCAAGGTAAGTGATAATTTCTATGTCAGCCTTGATAGCATGATGATTAGTTGATTAACCGTACCAAAGGACATCGTTTGGTCTCGCGGAGGACGCTTCCCGAAACCTCTACACCAGTATGCCGTCTTAGCAGTCTTTGGAAGGAATATCATTGTTTCCGAAGGCGATGAATGGAAGCGTTACCGCAAGGTTGTCGCACCTGCGTTTTCAGAAGTGCGTGGCTGATGTCCATGGGTAAAATGGAGCTCTCCTAACTTACGACTTTGAAGAGGAATAACAGATTGGTCTTCGAGACAACGACACAGATCATGCTTGGCCTTTTTGATACAGTATGGGCCGGACAAGATGAAGTGGTTGTAGACCACGCCGTAGACTTGACTTTGCCGGTAAGAGCTCTTGACGTTGCCATACCTACACGCTTCTTTAATTTCACCCCCCAGATTGGCTTGTTCGTGATCGGCGCTGCAGGTGAGCATTATTAGTATTATCAATAAGTAGTTATCGATATTGAACTCATTGCAGGCTTTGGACGCCCGATATCCTGGAAAGAGGACAATGTGGTCCCACTTGGCCACCAGCTGACCTTCAAAGATGCTCTCCATACAGTGACACAGGACCTTTCCATTAAATTATTAGTCCCGAAATGGGCCATGGGACTCACTAGGCGTTTCAGGCATACAAGACTTGCATTCGATGAACTGCATGTATGTACATGTACTAGTATCGCGCCTGAACACTTCACATTTCAATGACCCTCTTTTTTTTTTACAGCAATACCTTACTGAGATAATTCAAGAACGCCTAGAATCCCAGCACAAGGAAGACAACAACGATCTATTATCTAGTTTGTTGGCAGCAAACGACGATGAGAATTTGTCAAAGGGCGAAGTCAAGCTAAGCGACAGCGAATTAATCGGTAAGCTACGATTTCAGACACTGCAGCAGAACATGGCGACATTGTTCAACAGGCAATGTCTTCATATTTTTAGTCGCGGGACACGAGGTAATCCATCCTTCAAGGAACTTACTTTTTGCCTCACGCTGACAACTCACAGACGACAGCGCATTCTTTGGCTTTTGCGTTCGGACTGTTGGCTTTATATCCTGATAAGCAAGAGGAATTGTACCAGCACATCAAGCGAGTATTACCTGATGGAAGAATTCCTGTATGGACCCCTTATGTTACAGACAACTACGCAGCAACGCTTACATTGTTTTCGACAGACTTACGACGATATGCCGTCACTGACCTACTCGTCTGCGTTAGTTTTCCTCTGAATCAACTTTGGTATGTACTGACATTGTGGCAGCGTGTTCAACGAGACATTACGGATGTTCCCCCCTGTATGTTGGTTGAGCAGATATCCCTGAGCGATTTATTCACTTCAAGTGCAGGTCGCCGTTGTGCCAAAGTTCAACGCCGAAGACACATCCTTCACCCTCACAGATGAGAACGGGACGATGAAAACGATCGCTGTGCCTCAAGGATTTGCTCTTACGCTGGATGTACCTGGGCTTCATTACAACCGTAAGATAATTGCGAAGTGCAAAAGAAGTGCAATAACGAGCTGACGTATGATTACAGCGAAGTACTGGGAAGATCCATACGCGTTCAAACCTGAGCGATTCTTGGGTGACTGGAATCGGGATGCATTCTTCCCCTTCAGTGGTGGTAAGTAGCTTGACAATCTGCTTGGAAACAGCTTGAAGACACCCAAACCAATGAAGGTTACAGAGCATGTGTGGGAAGAAAGTGAGCGCATCGACATTATGCCTTGTCATTCATTTGAATTTGTTTAGGTTCTCGGAAACGGAGGGAACGGCTGTTCTGACTATTTTGCTTTCGCGATATACCATTTCCATCAAGGACGAGCCGCAGTTTGCTGGCGAAACATTCGAGCAGCGTAAGGCGAGAGTACTCAACGCACGAAGTCAGCTCACCCTAGCGTATGTTGGACTTCTGCTCCTGGAAGGTGATATGCTGATGCTGCTTAGACCGACCCGCCTTCCCCTGGTGTTCAGACGAAGATCTTGAAGAGGAGACTTAGTAATAGTATACACGAAATCCAATATGCGTGCAATCACAACATACGTTGGGCTTTGGTTTGACTGTACAAATATATTGCGACCGCATTTCACTTTCCCTTATTTGAGTGCGTCGTAGGCCTTGTAGTATATCACATTAATGAATCCTTACCATTATCATCTAATACTCACCCTTGAGGTTGGAGAGACCCTGCCTTCGAAGTTCGGTTCTTTGGCAAATTTTACGAGCGCTAAACTGAACGCAGGTTCAGCCATTTAGTCGAAATCGTTCGCGAGGTCCGGTTCGTGCTCTAACGCCGAACCTGACCTAAAATGCATGACTATCGTGCATGCACGTACGAAATCTGCACAACTCAATGCCCAACGATTCCTGGCGGTTACATCAGGACAAACCTCAAACCTCCCTCTGAAATCCCAACTGCTGCTGGCGTTCGGTCATCATACCGATGACGTAAACGCTCTGGCCTTCAAGCTCGACGGCACTGAAATTACCGCTTGGGTAGGCAACGCATCCCCAAAGGTAGGCAACACACCCACATGAACGGTCGCAACGGTTAGCGGTTTCAAGTTCAAGTAGAAACCCCTGCAACAGGATTAGTGTTGATACTAATGAGAACTGATGTTCAAAATTTTGCTCACCAGGTGCACATCAGGTGAGTAGAACGGCGTTCGGTTACCTGAGAAGGTTATGTCATTACAGTCGCTCGAATGTTGTTGGTTCACCTGCCATAAAGACTAAAGTAGTTGGCTTCTATCAGTAATACACGTACATACCGATACAAGGTGATGCCTCACTTGCACACTTCAAGGCGCAGTGCTCGTACATAGATGCGTTATATAGGAAAAGGCATCGAGTAATCTTCCATGGTCAGTGATACGCTCCTGCTTAGGCTTCATCGCATCGAAGGAACGTCTGATTGTGAGAAAAGACACAAAACACGTTGGAATTCATTGGAATAAACACATGAAATGCATGGATCATGAACGAACTGACGGTCCAGTACAAGTTTAAGTTTAATTGTGCCTGGGTTGGAACGGGTTCAGAGAGAAACATACCTGCTCGGACTTGGAGAAAAGTTCGCGTCCTAACCTGCGGCAGCAGTAGCGCTTATAAGTTAGAGCTGGAGAATGGTTATGGGAAGAACGTGTGAGGAGCAGGGTGATGGTAGACGTGCGAATGTAGTTGATAGAATGAGTGAGAGCTGGGAAACAGAATCATTGACTCAAAAATCAGGCCAGATCAGAGATCGTGGAAGAGTGAATTGGCGGGGGACGGCTATGGGGCGGTAAATATTAATCCGGGCTACCATGGATAAATATCATAGCACTCGTATGGGATCAGCATATACTACATCTCCGCGTCCATGCTTGTGTAGACATACATTTTGATTTGTGCATTTCCCGTGCCCGCCGTACTCCGTCCTCGTGTTTCAACGACCTTGCCCGCCTCAACCATCTCGTATCTTACAAGCGGCAAGAATCGAAACTCGAGTTGCGCTAATACCGAATAGGTGGAATCGGTTCTGCGCGTATTGAGGCAAGGTCTACTGCTTGATCGATTGCTTCGTCGATTTCACCGATGAGTACACTGGGAGTACTTGTGTGAGAGAGGGAATGAATGATTGAATCTCACGCACATCATATCTCCCTTGACAAGGTAGAGACCTAGTTCAACTTCTTCTACACCTTCATCTATACTATAGATCCTCTCCTTTGAATCACTGAGGACGACATTGGATTTTTGGTCATAACCAGCAAGGACACCGACGATAGCTCTGCCGTCTTGAAGTACGAGGAGGACGCGCCCTAGATGATCATTAGAGATGAAAAGGACGTAAGAAACAAAAACATACTATCGACGTAACCCTGCAAGCTGGACATAATCGCTGTTGCAGTAAGAGGCCTGGTTCTATATAGTTGTGGCTGTGCATTTGATATGGCTCGGCCAGGGGAAGCCCATGGCAGGGGCGTCTCTATCTACTCGCCTCATTTGCTTCTTCGTTGTCATCAACGACGACCACGGTCCACGGCGCCACGTATCATACCCGAGATATTCCCGAGCTCATATAAAATATCTTTATTTTCTTCTTCAATTAATACTATGGAGAACGAAAAACTTGCCACCGTCGACCTCCACGAAGACCTTCCTCCTCCAGCAACAGCTCAACACCAACAACAGCCTCGAAGTCGTGCAAAGCTCAGCGCAGCCGCAATAATCCCTGTCTGGATTGTTCTCAGTAGTGGTGTCATCATCTACAACAATTATATCTACAATACTTTGCAGTTCAAGTATCCAGTCTTTTTAGTCACTTGGCATTTGACGTTTGCCGTGAGTTTTTCATGCTTTACATATTTTTTAACTGACACTTTTGACAGGCAATTGGCACCCGCATCCTGCAACGTACTACCCACCTCCTCGATGGTGCCAAAGATGTTCCAGTCAGCAAAGACATGTTCTTTCGCTCCATCCTCCCCATTGGCCTTCTTTTCTCCGGTAGTCTCATCCTCAGCAATACGGCTTATCTGTACCTGAGCGTGGCCTATATTCAGATGCTAAAGGTACGTCCATCCCATAACTTCTTTATCTGTATCTTTCATACCGAATGTGCCTTAACTTCACCCTTATTCATACTGTGTTTTCACCTCATTCATATGCCGTTTTATTTGCCTCGTCCTTGTTGAAGCTTCTCTATTACCACTTCTTCTCCGGTTGTTCCTGTACTTGGCTCGCGCGCTCTCCTTCGCCGCTTGCTTCCATCTGTCTTTCGATACTCTATCAGATCTTCGCTTATCCACCCCTTCACCGCTACTAAACGCACACTGACTTCTACCTTGCTTACACAGGCCTTCACCCCAGTGGCCATCCTACTCATCACATGGGCAACCCGGATAAGCGAACCCTCCCGCAAGCTGCTATTAATCGTTCTCATGATTTCCTCCGGTGTTGCCATCACAAGCAAGGGTGAGAAGTGGTTTAGTTTAGTTGGATTTTTCATTCAGGCTGGAGGAGTCGGTGTGAGTGTTTTTTTTGCTCTCGTAATCCTCCCTGATAAAACTAACCTTTCCTCGTAGTTCGAAGCCACCCGCCTCGTACTAATCCAAACCCTCCTACACGGGCTCAAGATGGACCCCCTCGTCTCCCTCCACCTCTACGCTCCCGTCTGCGCGCTTATCAACCTCTGTGTCTTACCTTTCACAGAGGGCATCGAACCCCTTCGCATCGTATGGGCGAGTATCGTGGGGTCGTACAGTGAAGCTATGGTTGCCGTATCCAACAGCGCAGCGTCTGCTTTAGCCAGCACAGCGACATCGGATGCCACAGTCTCAGCAGTTGTCGCATCAGGAGAGGCACTCGAGGCCGTGGTGCCCCACATCACGCCCTTCCTGCTATTCACGAACGCACTACTTGCGTTCCTGCTGAACATTGCAGCTGTGTTTTTGGTAGGCGCGGGGAGTGGATTGGTGTTGACGCTTGCGGGTGTGTTGAAGGATGTGTTGTTGGTAGCGGGAAGCGTGGTGATTTGGGGTGGGGAGGTGGGCGTGATGCAGGCGTCTGGTGCGTTTTGGTTTTGGTTTGACATTTGGTGCGGTGCTGACATCTCTCTTTTTCACACAGGATACTCGATAGCGTTGTGCGGATTAGTGCTGTTTAAGGTGTCGGGTGGGAAGTGAGCGCTTGGCGCTGCATATAGAGTTCTTGCACGATCTAGAGCGCCTTGTTTATCACTTACCTTGCTACCCGGCTCACTTCTGCATACATTCCCCAGCCGAGTCTATTCGTTCAAGAGATGTTCATATTGGATTGTTCCCCGGACGCTCGCTACCGTCGTCCTCTTGCATATTATTGCGATCACCTTGTTTTCTGTCTTCGCACTTGTACATCCTCTTAAACCCTCGCTGTCTCCCTCCTGCACTTCCTCTCCCACCCGTCTTATCTGCTACCGACGACATTCAAAGCACGTGGACAAATACAAATCATAGACTAAGATATGCAAACATTCCCCCTCCCCTCCCTACGTCACTTCCATATACTGGCTGTTTCAGTATTACTGACTGTCCTTTTTGTGTTTTCTATTCTCGTCCCCCCGTGCTTGCTCGACACTCGTACCGTGCTTCTGATTATGTAGTGGTGTGTGTTTTTCGACGTATAGACTTTTTGCAGTGCTTAGCTATTGAATTCGTGTGAGAAGGAAGTAATTGGATTGACAGACGATACGTGAAGACAGTCGTTCATTAACATTCTCTAGATCTCATCCGTCGTGCAAATAATACGTAACTGTAGTTGAAAGCCAGACCTTCCGTAAGTATTATGTACATGGTCGTGTGCGACTCGCATGTTTGAAACTCGGACGCGCCCAAACTTAGAGAGCGTTCCACAATTTGACCCGTAAAATTTCGCCATCATGACACCAGCATTCAGCGCCCTGAAAAGATGGTTTTTACGGGTTGCTCGCCGTTCTGCGAGTTTCTTCTCCTTTTTCTTGTCTTTACTCCGCCGATTTTCTAGATATCGTTCAAAGCCCGGAGATTCGAGATTGATCAGCCAGCCTCGTATTTCCAATGGAGCTCTCCCGCGACCCCTTGAAGGGGACATAGCGGGAGAGGATGTACCCGTTTGTTTCAGTCTTTTGCCTCCTGATCCAATGGGAGTGGAAGCTGCGGGAGAGTCTCTATCCCCTTCAGATGATCCTTACACAGGAACCCATTCACGACCTCTGCTAAAGGGTACATTGGCACCTCTGTTGGAAGGTAATGAAGCGGCAGCAGGGCGCCCCGGTGCAACCGAAACAGATGGGCTTCATCAGGGTTCTATGTCAAGTCTACACTCACCCCCGCAGGGAGAGGCCTCGGTAGACAACAGGACGATTCTCAACGACCCATTACAGGAGTCCAGCAGCCCAGGCTCATCGCGTTTTTCTGGCCTGCATGAAGTATCCAGAACACATTCACGACCACAAGGATACATGGATGATGCTCATTCTATTAATACAACGCACACGCCATCCATGAGCCATATGGCACCTGGCATGCCATATTCCCAATACGCGTCCGATAGTCGTGTTTCGACAAGCATCGGTCGCTCCCTTACACGATCGATTGCTGGGTCAGAAAGTCGACAAGCTGCATATCGAACACACACAGGACCTGTCCATTCTCGCCCGGTTTCCGTCCATAGTTCCATACACCACGGATCCCTGAACACTGTTTCTGTTCCATTGGATTCGCCTGCCCAGGTGGTGCCAGGATCAGATCTCGGTATTGATCATCACGTTCATTACACTGCTCCGCCTGACAGTGACGAGCAACCGGGCACAGAGGCCGTCATGGTCTATGACGGTCCGCCGATAAGTGCTATGGTTCCAAGCGGAGTCAGGAGGTACGCAAGGTGCATGCCCCGGTGAACATCAGTCCGCTTTCCCGCCTTTCCTCGAGAGCTGATCCTGCTAAAGGGCCGCCAACAATTCAAAAACTACTGTCCCTGCTATGACAATTACATTTCCTCTGCATGAGTAAGTTTGCTTTGACCGTTTTTGTCGCACTTCAACCCTTTCAAGTTTGGATGTTCCCCCAGGATGGATCTCGGTTGTGCATCCAGAAGGTGCTCGTTACTTTGTGAACCAAACAACAGTGCGTCAAGTTCATGGATTCTTGAAGGCTGACGGTCTAAGGTACGACGCACAGAGAACAATCACAGAAATGAATATCTATGACGAAGAAATATGCGCTGACATCGAATACTTCATGGCCTACTTGCTGGGTGAACTTCGGTGGACCGTTGAGCACGGGAACCTCACGCTCGACATGACGCAAGTCGACCTTGTGGTCGAGCCAAAGGTCTTAGATAGCACCTCTGTCGTTTGTTGCTATTATTTCACCAACCATCGTGACAGATGCCTCTTTTGGTTGGATGACTTCGATGCTCAAGATATTCTCTTCGAATGTAAAAGCATAAAGACTCTTGCACATATACGTGGGTGATTAGTAGTTCTCGGCGGGTCTGGATCTGACGACTCGTTCTGGCTTTCGTCATCAGGACTTGCCATTCAAACACAATATTGGTGTGTCCCAGTAAAGGTACGCACGATGTCGTTTACAACTGCCCCATTCTCAACACAATTCTAGGTTCATATGCATGCAAGCTCACACGCAACGTAGGAGCCATTGGGACTACTTCCCTAGCCAGTGCCCAGTTGCACAAGACCTTGTCGACGAGGTCGAGAATACATTGGTGCATGCGGCATGCGGTCAGCGCTCTCTTAGACATGATGCCTTGGTTTAATGCATGCAATGATCAGACTCGTTAACATCGACGGAATCTCCTATGGCATTTGGTGCCATTGAGGTGAGGGAACTTCTGTCTGCGGTGGATAAAATCAAGGGTACGTTACTTTGATACCTTCTCACGGATGTGCTAATTCTATTTCTCAAAGTCCACTCCTCTGCGTATCAGAATACGCAGCAATGCCATGCTGCCATCGTCATTGGTGAGGCTTGAATTTGAGTTCCATTTCTTCCTGACATTGATTATCATTTAAGGCCGAATTATGTATGCGTTCAGTCAGTGCTCCCTCACTTCTCTATCTATCTGTAATTTATGGTGATTTTGAAGGTCACAGTCACTTTGTCAATTATCATGGGGAGGACTGCGTAAGACTGAGCCTTGAACAAACAGCTCATAATCGGGCATATAAACCATCACCGTTGATGGTCATTCTCGCACCCTTCCTGTTCTTTGACTCAAGTCCACGAACTGCGCAAGATTTTCGTCGACGACGCTACTTGCACAGTACGGTGGAATGCATTCAGTTTAAAAGCGAAAGGGCAACTCCAGAACTCCAATCTCTTGGTAAGTCCACATTTTCAATGCTGTCTACTTGCGTGCGAACAACATTGAACCAGGCCACTATCTTGCTCAACGTCAATGTCGGGTTTCTCGCTATCAACAGTGTCGATAAGGGGGGTAGAAATGCCGTTCAGATGGCAAGTTACATGTCTCTTGTGGTGAGCATGGGAAGCATGATTCTTGGCTTGTTGCTGGTTTCGCACAATCGTACCATGGGTCAAGATACTTCAAAACAGACAGTCAGTAATGATGCTGTATGATCACAACGTGTCTCACGGTGGTTGGTTCAGGCAGTTTTTCAATCAGGACTTTACGATCGAAACCACAAGCTTGAAAAGCTGGCCCTCGTTTACAGCCTCCCAAGGCGTTGCTCATTTGGGGGTGAGTCTGTGCCCTAATGTGATGGGCAGACGCGCTGATTCAGTATGGTAGTATGATCCTCTTTTTTACGGCATTCTCCATCGATTGGTGGAGTCCTGGAGACCGAACTTCCAGGATCCTCGTTGGCACTATGACACTAGCCGTATTCGCGACGATCTCAAACAACATCCTTCGCATCCTTGAAGGAGACTTCTGGCCGTGGCAGCCAATCCTACTGCATGGCGGCATCGACCGGCGACTATTGGATTCCCTGGCTGACGCTTGGAAGCGAGTCATGAAATTCATGGGGATGGGGATGAGAAGAGCTGAAAGAGCCCTCATCCGCGACTCTCAACTCCATACTGAAGGGTTTGACCTTAATCCCTTTGGCTCCTTGCAACCAGATGCAGAGCCAGATATTCCATTGCGCGGCACCTCTCATCCAATCCTACCTTTGATTCCACTAGAAATACTGGGCCCAGACGATCGTGATACTTACCCCCACTCATATCCCCCGATTCCGCCATATCAACCTACCACTGCTGCAGATTCACCCCAGCAACCACATGATGTTAGCTCCGTGCTGCCATCATCGGATTCACGCACCAGCCCAGGTTTTCTGTCAGGCGCTGGCCCTTTACAAAGCTCTGCGTTAGCAGGGACGGTCAGGACGGCAGCCAACGCGATATTGCATTCTGATGCTCTCCCAACCATAGCCACCGACACGGCCACCTCCACATTACCTGGTCCATCTCGAACGGAAGAAAGGGAGAGGGTGGAATATACCGATAATGTGGTCGAGGAGCCGGGAGAATTAGACGATCCTCAACGTCTGTCGAGCACAACGCCGCCTCCAAGAATCTTTACTAGAAGCGCCACTGCTGACTATGGCCGTCATGCTCCGGTGGCTCCGAGGTGGGCGTTAGAGGACGGGCATGTCATAGAGGAGTGCCAAGAATATGAGAAATGGCTCGTGGTAATCGCAAGAGGAAAACCATTTGTACAATGCGATGATGTATAAGGTTTGGTTAATGATTTGCATGCTTGTATTCGCTTGTACTCCTTGCATACCTTGCTAAGTCTCACTTGTAATAAGGTACTTACAAAGCTCAGCGCAGCCGCCTCAACGGTAAGTTCCCCTCAGGGGTCTCCGTTTGCTCTGAAACCGTGAGACCTCTATGTACCTACTTAGCATAGGGCTTTAATATTATGTCACCTAACTTGCCAATAGACCTTGCATCGTAAGGCAACTGTTATACTCCCTCAGTGCACACCAGCACGCGAAAATTCTAGATTCATATCTCGCCGTAAGTTATTGGTTGGTACAAACTGCATACATGTAACATCACATTTTGTTCAGGGATTCAAAAGGAGCCAGACATCGAGACATCGAGATTCGAGGTACAAACCCACTATCATTGTGCAAGACACTCGGAGGTCTGGTGTGCTCCCGCCCTGTAGTGGACAGCTACCAAGCCCGATCCGATCTCATCAATTATATTCCCTGTCATTGAACATAGTAGAACTCTCGAGTAAGCGCCAAATCTCCTTCGTCTTGTATGTTTTGGAATCTTAGATGTTGACTCGTGATTTAGCGCCCTTCACAAACTGGAGATATCGCTTGAAATTCGACTTCCATCCCTTCTGACGTGAATAGAACTTCCAGTTAAGAGCAACGCATTCATTGTACTACGATTCGATCACTGATTCAATTACTTCAGTACCCTTGCGTTATGAAATACAGTGCCGTTGGCACAGTGGTAGCCGACACCAGCAGTGCAGAGAAGATCGTTGAATCCTTAAGTAAGGTCGCTGTCCACGGTGCACCATTTGATTCGCACGTGTGGGGCCCTCCGCATAAACGTGAATGCCTAGATGGCACTCGCACGAGGATCTTGGAAGAAATCGAGACAACACTACAGGCAAGCAACAGTACGCTGATTTGGCTCTCTGGCTCTCCTGGGATAGGAAAGTCTGCGATCGCTCATACAATCGCCAGCCGTCTCAAAGACAAGTCGAGATTAGCTGGAACGTTTTTCTTTAGTCGCAAACATGGGGACATGCCTGGCATGGCCAGCCTTGATTTCTTTGCGCCTACGTTGGCGTACCAAATTTCAAACAGTGAACACCTCGCCAAAGACGATGTGGTCCGTGCCATCAGATCCGACCCTGCTATCCTTGATCCAAGGAAGCCGCTCGCTGATCAAATACGAGAACTGCTAGTTAAACCGTTACAGAATTTGCGGGTCTCATGGGGACATTCGGAATCAAAGGTGCTTGTAATCGATGCGATTGACGCATGTAAAGAGCGCATCCGCGAGCTCATCCTATGTCTTTCGAATTTCCTTCGCCAGCCACGTATTCCGCACTTGCACATCGTCATCACCAGCCGACCTCTTTACACTATTGATGATGCATTTGAAGCTATTGGTTCCGAGCAGTCAATACATCATATCGCTCTCGATGACGTTGATGTTGCTGAAGCTCACAAGGACCTTTGTCTCTTCTTCGAGCATGCTCTAGAGAGGAGCTACAGGAATCATGGCCTTGAATACCATGAACTGGGGCCCGAAGACGAGATAATCCGCTGTCTCGCTGACAGGGCGAACGGTCGGTTCGGGACCGCGTCGACGATGATGAGATTCCTCGAAACCCGCCATGACGACGACGAAGTGTCATATGATATCGATGAAAAACTCAACATTATGAAGGATCCCGGTGATGCATATCTACATCCTACCCAAATATTCTGTTTCTATGAGTTCATCATCAAGGCATCCGAAAATCCAACCCGTGCATACCAACATTTGTCCACGGTAGTCAATCTCGCCGAACCGCTAGCAATTTTTTACTTGCAGAAGCTCCTGGGATCTTCAGAAAGCGATTTATTGTCCATTCTCGTGTCGTTATCCCCGACAGTCAACGTCCCCGCTGATGACTCTCGCGCCGTGGAGGTTCTCCACATGAAGTCGCTTCGCGAGTTTCTCTCCCACCATTCCTCTTCGTCTTCGTCGCGCGCATCCCAGCTCCTTGCACAGTCCAGTCTGCGAATGATGAAAAACTCATTCATGCGCCAGTCGGGCCTCAAGGATGAGCTGCAACGAATGGTTGCAAAGATCATCATTGAAGCAGGTCCGCAATCAGATCTGCAATCAGATAATGTAGGTGCCTGCTCAGTTACATATACATACTGATCTCACACCAGCATTTACAGATACTGATTATTTTCCTCGAATTGTGTTTGGCACAGTCGTGCAGCAAGACCGTACGTGCGACCGCCTGGTACCACGAATATATGCGATCAGGGGCTGGAGCTCCCTGCTCCGCCCCGTCTCGTGCCCAGCCCTGTGATATGTCGGAGGATATATCAAAAGCTCGGTTGGCACTTCAGGATTTCCGAGCGAAATATGAATTTCGCGACCTACACGTGTTCGACCTCTTAGCAAAACTACAGGCTCTGCCAGAGATGTTGTTCATCTTGATCCTCTTGGCAATTCGTCACACTCATCCTTCCGCTTCGCATCATATTGGTTGCATCGATGAGTCCTTATCATCACGCATGCCTCCGGCGTTCATAAACTTCATGCGATACGTGTGGAAAGGAACTGAGCAAAGCTTAAACAGCTCGACAGCCCTCAAACATGCTTGCCAATATTGGAGTGTGTATCTCTCCCAGGCTCCGATGAACGTGGATGGATATTTGTGCAACTATCTTCGTGCCTTTTGGCAGGATAAGTTACTATCTTGGTTCGAAAGACAGTGGTACTTGGAGGGCTTAGAATCATGCACAGCCATCCTGAATATTGCACAGACCATTGATTTCAAATTGAAATTGTGATTGATTTGCGATTCTGTTGTACAGTAGTTATCACTTCTACAATTGTCTACAAGTACATCACAATCACTGCGGAAACGACTTTTTAGTCGGACACTAAACGGAGGAAGAAACCAGGTCTAAACAGACTCAAAACGTACTTAGACACTAACCGAACGCAAAGCAGACGTGTCGATGGTTTTGGTGAAGCGACAAATGTAAATAGAGTCTTTTCAGACTTCGCGAACACATCTTTCCCGACCGTCGTTTATTCTCTTCAAACACTCCTTATCCCACCACTAACCAGATCCGTAAATCCATCCTTTCGACCTCTTTTTACGGTAGACTTGGGCGAAGGTGAGTATTTTTGAAAATTCCTCTAAGTCCTCGTTTCATGCTATCATGATGGCAGAATGCAACATGATCAAGCTCAAGATACCTGCGCAACTGAAAACTTTCAAATTTACTTTCGAGTGCAGAAGACCAGGACCCGTAGTAAGTTATTTGTACAACTAGACTACTCCCAACTAATTTCTATCTAGACTGTTGAAATTTCAATGCGCAAGCCTCTCAAGCGATCGAGGTCACAGCCTAGTAGTTCAGAGGACTTGCGCAACTGTGGAATGTAGATTCGCGGATGGATCATGTGAGGGTTGATTCATGTAAGAACCTCCAGCAACGCTAAACAAAGGCTGATAATCAGGTGTTGGACCCCTTTGATGAGGCTGGGGTGCGAGTGAGGGTGGTTCGCTGTATGGAAACATGTGAGTCCCACTGTTGTACGGTGTCCCTTGTGCTGATGATGTCCCTTGATATGGTGTTCCTTGGCCAGATGATGACGACGCTGACCCCACATGTGCCTGACGCCCGAACAAATACAGGCCGTTGTTGTTCTATCTAGGTGAGTATTTGGTGTCCCCTACTAGAGCATCCAAATGGACTTACCATGACTTGTGGTTCACGACTTGCACCCTGTTGTCCCGCACTAAAGAACGGATCCATCCGCGGCAGCCCACCACTATTTTCGAGAGGGGAGAGCTGGGGTTGCATACTGGGTGGTAGTACAAGTGGCCCCATAAATGGTTCGTGTCGTTGCTGCTGCCTTTGAGTTTCCTGACCTAACTGGCTGCCAGGATCGCTGGGCCTTCTCTGCACGTTCTGGGGCACACCACACATCGCTATGGGAGGGGACGAGAGCAGGCAGAAGAGCGAGAAGGAGGACCTAGCATGTGGGGGATGTATGGCGGATCCATAGAAGCATGTAATCCTAACCTAAACAGAGGGGGTTTTCACTATTTTCGATATTCTAAACGGACGTGATAACATATCTAATCAGCTTCAAACCCGACTAAGTAATAGCATGTCTGTAGCCTAATCACACTCCGTATCACGCTGAAATCCGTATGCTCGTTTGGTGCGGATTGGGAGACCTTTCTATACTTTGTCTGATACATTTTGAGTCTATTTCTAGAGTACAGTTTGTGTCTGTGTACATGCCCTAATCCTACTCTTTTCGTATACGACTAAAAAGTCGTTTCCCCAGTGAATCTTAGAGCCTGTTCAGCAACTGGTGTTTGAGCAAAATTTGTGTTTATGTATGGGATTGCATTTGAGCAGCACAGAAGCCGTTTGTAACGGAGTTTCAATCACTCTATTACTCCCAATGCTTATGACAGCTCCCTGCCCAGTAAATAGTCGAATCAGTCCTTATCAGCGAAGGCAGATCGTCTCAGCTGTAGCTGCTATTATACTCTGTACTCAGATCCAACTCTTCTTGATGACCGAGAAGGACAGCAAGAAACCCAAAGCCCAGTGGAGTGATGAGGAGGTTGATGTCCTCCTGGAGTTTCTTCAATCACAGACTTCCAAGATGGCCGGGACGACTTTTAAAGATGAGACTTTCAGTGATGCAGCAAAGAAAATCGCGGAACATAATGAGAAACTGAAGAAGCAAGGTGCAGCAAAGGACATGGTGCAGTGCAAGGGGAAATGGTGATCAGTATGTCTCTGTATCATATCCCCTAGCTGCACCGCTAACTTATTATCAATATGCCTACAGCTGAAGCAAATCCTAGCCACCATCGAGAGATTTCGCACAAGTTGATCTGGATGTCACTGGGATAATATCAAGGGTGCTAATATTCAGGGGGAAGCGGTGGAACTCATGTGGAAGCAATTCATCGATGCTAGTGCTTCAAACAAGGTATGTTTGTGTTAATATTTCCATCTGCTACTCACCTCTTATTTTAGGTGTTGAAACCTTTCAAAAATAACGGATGGAGACCTTGGCCAAAGATGATGGAAATTCTCCCAAACAGGAGTACTGCTCAAGGGGCAGCTGCCTACAACCCAGCCTCCTTGGCCATGCAGGCATCAGAAGCTGCTCCTGCCAATGCTGAGGCCAGTGGATCCTCGTCATTGGCCGTACAAGCATCAGAGAGTCATAGCGCCTCTGGGCTTGAAGCTGCTGTTGTGCTGCAAGCTGGATGGGACCAGATCATGTCAGCCCTTCCGTCTGCCACACCCAGAGTTGCTAGACATTCTATGAACATGCCCCCTCCCCCCTCTTCTGTCACACCCTCTAGTACCAGTAAATGCTCACATTCTGACATGGTCTTGTCCGCCAGTGCCACTCAAAGTATGACATCACCTGAAGATTCATGCAATGCTGACAAAAAGCTGAAGTTGTCAACATGCAGTAGCAGTCATGTCACCAATAGTTGCAAAAGTTCTAAGGCTGCAAAGGATGCTGCCAGCACTGCTGTCTTCATGAACCTGCAAGGTTCCATCAACTGCATCACTGACAGCCTTCACATGTCAGCGTCCAACACAGATGAAACTTGGGTGTTGGGTGAAAGGCTGCAGGCGATGAACTTCATGCAGGAAGAGGATGGCATTTCAGATGACGAGCAGATCACCCTCATGAATGTGTTCGCAAGGAGCCTGTTGATATGCAGCATCTACTTGGCTGCCAAGCCTGAGAAGCATGTCCGCTACTTGCGATCTGTTCTTGTTCAGGCTGCCACTGGGGAATTTGGTGTGTTTTAAATTGTTGTTTTTACTTGTTTGTTTCTCGCATCATGTTACATAGTAGTCACTCTTCAATATGCAGTGCATCTTCATTTGTAGCCCTATTTACACTAAAAATTACTGTGCCTCTAAATGTCGTCCTCGCTCCCATAATACTCATCAATGTCCTTGATGTCCTCCAGATCTTCATCAAAATCTAACAAGTGAGCTACATCTACTAAATCATGTTCATATTGTATGTCCTGGTAATCGTTCCACATCTCTGTTGCCATGCGATCGTGAAACACATTCACATCTAGATCATCATCAAGAATTGTATCCGCATCAGCATCATCAAGGATAGCTTCACCAGGTAGTCCCTGATGGGTAGGGTTATCATTGAAGATGGCCCTGTGAGGGAGAGGCTCTTCTTGTGGGTCGTGAACACGTATATAGTTGTGAAGGGCACATAATGCTGTGGGAATACGAGCCTGGATAGTTATCTTGTACTCTGGAGATACCAGGAGAATGCGAAAGTGCTGCTTCATGACGCCAAAAATACGCTTGATGACGTTACGAGCAGATGCGTGATGAAGGTTAATAATTCCTCTTTATTAACAGGTCTAAAAAATGGTATTATTAGATGAGCTACACCACATAAGAATAAAAGTCTTACCTGACGCTAGCATGACCCCACTCAGCTATGTGGTACTGAACACCACGGTAAGGAACTAAAAGTTGTTGGGTCGGGGGGAAACCGAGGTCCCCAAGAAGGTATTTTCCAGGTGGAATATTCAAGCCATCATGTTGGGCTACATCCCAGAGCCGTGCATCTGTCGCCAACCCTTCCCATCTAGTTAGCATGAAGATAAACTCAAGGTCAAAGTTACAAGCAAAGAGGCAGTTTTGTGATACAAAACCTTTGCAGTTATAGTATAAATGGCGAGTGGCTGAGGGAGGAAATGCATTTATATGGCTCCCATCAATCACTCCAATAGCATCACAGAAGTATGGCCAATGTTTGGGGTTGTCGCGAATTGCACTCGAGACCGGTGCATCAGCAGTGGGAAGGTGGACGTATTCTGTGTAAAAAGGATGGGAGGAAAGTATGTCTAGCATCTTGTGGAAGTATCTACAAGAGGATTAGTATCAGAAATATACTAGTGTTAAATCAAAATACACACTTGGAAATTGTAGCATTTGAATGCTGGAATCGTTCAGCGACATGCCTGACAGTCAATCCTGTCACACAGGTATATAGGAATATAGATAGTTGTTCTTCGAGTGAGACATAACACGAGTTGCCGTGACCAAGGGTGTGAAGGTCTTGTATCAATTTCTCAAAGACATGAAGATTAACACCAAGTTCATAATGAATGCGATCGGGGTGGCAAACAATGAGTTCTATCACCCACTCTTGCCCTGTTAGGGCTGAGGTGTGATATGATTCGGGGTCAGGAGTATCGTCCAGGAAGATATGCACTGTAGCAGTAAGTAGAATACTGAGGATAAGTGCAACATAACAAATAATGTGCTGGTGAAGTGCAGCATGGTGAGGTCAGGGGGCGAGTCTGTTCCAATGGTCGGACGAGCGGAACTACGAGTCGCTGTAGATCAACAAGGTTACATGCATCCATATAGCTATTGGATATCATTGAGTTATCATTGTATGTGTTATCACACTGTTATCGCTCACTGACTAATTTCAGACTCAGCTTGAATCTCGGTACACCATGCTGATCAATGATGTTTGGTTTAGCAAAGATTTTGCTCAAACACTGGTTGCTGAACGGGCTCTTAGAGTCAATGAGGCCAACTATCTTGGGTTGTTAATCAACAAACTCTTACAGCTCTTTGCAGTACCAAAGGTGCCAGCCCTTTTTGAGAAAATTCAGCCACATTGTAATACTAATCATTACACTTAACTTACTAACAAGAGCCTGTTCAGTAACCAACATTTGAACAAAATTTTGCCAACTTGAAAATTGTCAGTGGCATGAGTGTGTCTAGTGTTGTTGGCAGAATGAAATATTTCTGCCAGTGGAAATTGCCAGGCAGCAATTACTGGCAGTAGGTCGAGGGTGGTTGGCAGAAGTTGGCAGAACTATGATAGCCTG